ACTGCATAGTTTATTTAATCAATTTATTGGTATTTCTGTACCTTTTATGAGCATCTCTAACCAGTATGCTTTTTACATTGATTCTCTTAATGTAGAATTGTCCATAGCACTAACTGCACATTCAAAAAACGGAAGGGGAATTTCAATGAACAAGACAGGGTTTTCTACCCAAGCCATTCATCCTTGGCTCAATCCTTTGTTACTAGCATAGGAATCTCCCAAATCACCTGCTAACTCTGGTAGAAGATTTGCCCAAGGAAGAAGCAAAAGATAAAGGTGAAATAACTATCTTGTATGAATCATATTGATTGATTTTTAACATTTTCAAATCACTTTTATTAAAAACAAACAAAAAAGCTAAAACAGAACTGTCAGCCAAAATTAATGAAAAAGCCCACCAGCTGGTAGGTGGGTATGCAAATACTTCCCCTGAACTCTGTTCTCAATAACACACTAGTTTAGACCAAGGAAACACTTGAGTACTTGTTTAATTTTCACTGCTAGGTTTAAATAGGTCAGAAGCTTCCTTGTCAGCCTACACAGAGACACCTCTTGTTCCCACTTTGCACACACAGTGATTACTCACAGTCTCACCTAGAATGAACCAAATACTTTCCTCAGAGGAAAATCAGCTGTGGCTGAGACTGACTCTCTGTAGGGCACAGTGAGTCCAGATTTCAGGACATGACCAGGTTTTATGCTTTCATCCTTGGACAGGCCTTGAAATTCTATCTCAGCATCCTCAGCCTCTCTGGCTTCCTCATGTCACATGGAAGTTCAGTGACCCTGCATAGCACGGGCAGGCTGTAAGCTGAGGTGCTGTGCTCAGGGGATGGCCTGAGGTGGTGGAGGAGCAGAAGAGTTGGGCCAAGATTTATTGGTTAGACACCAAATCAGAATGAATCCAGGGTTTTCAGTGCGGACTATTCAGCCAATCTTTACTCTCTATGTACATGATGCAGAAGAGGCTGCACAAATTGGTTGCTGATGTCTATAAATTCCACTCTTTGGCACAATTCCTAAAGGCAATGAAAACATTCTCTGGAGCCCCAGTGCATTAAAGCATTTAAGATGCTCTTAAAATTAAGGACACACTTAAGTCTCATTGTCATCTGCATACTCTTAATGCCTTTTTGTATCGTGTCCAGAAGGTGTTGCTGCATGAAGACTTATAAATCAAATAAGAAAATAAGAATAAAGATCCTTGAATCTAGATAAGAAATAGAATTATCTTACTGACAAACCTTTCTCTTCTCCTGAATGTTATTCTGCATCTAATAAAAAAGATAATACAAGGCTAACAGGAGTCCCATTCTTGAATAAAAAGGAGCAGTTATTTGTTACTTAACTGCTTGTTTAGAGATGGGAGAAAATTATGTGTTTTTTTTAAAGCCTATTTTGAGAAAAAAAAAGGTGAATGTCCAGAGAGAGCAAGTAGTTCTTTATTGTGTTCAGTGGTGTCCATTTCCCATGTCTTGCTCAGCCTGCATGAACTATACAAAGCCCCACATTGATATTCTCTCAGTCCAACTTTCATTTTATTTGATCTGTTTCTTAAAAGACAAATATGTTGCTGGATGTCTCACACTTTCAGTGGGCTTCACTCAGGCTGCTGCTCACTGTGGTATAGACATATGGAATGAGGCATTCAAAGAAACTGGCAACAGGGTTCCCTAAGGAATGGGGATCTCATACTAAGCAAGATCTGCTGTGGACATTGTCTATGAAATGAAAGGAAAACTGCTTTAGAAGGATCTGCTTCCAGTTTTGTCTTATACTGTCCACATTCAGTTGGGTAGCAATGCATGTGCAGTTAGTATTTTATCTGGTTGGGTCTTATTTTCCACACTGAGAAAAGCAGTAGTGTTGATAGCTCAGTGCATGACAGAGAGCCTAAAATCATCCAAAGTAAAACAAAGGATGGTGATTACCCTCTGTCTTCATGGACTGCTTAGTTAACTTGGGACAAGTAAACTCAAGATTGCTGTGGGCTAGCAAGAAAAGAAATTGAATGTCTGAAAGAAATTTCTTGAAAAAACAATTAGGGCTGGTGTGATTTCCCAACTTCTAGTTCACTTTTTTTAGGTAATTATCTTCTTTTGCCAGTGGTACCAAAGCACAATACCTATTTTGTCTAGTCCCTTCCACAGTTGCTTAAGTTTGCTCATTTTCTTTCACAGTGATTTGTTATTTGAGTGTCTATGCTTGCTGCCCATGTGGAGTAGATCACAAAAGAAGCACAGACCTCACAAAGCTGAATATCAGATACAGAATGGAAGCAGCCTTAGGTGAGTTAAGTGTCTAGGTCTAGGTAGGCAGCCTTCATGCATGCATTGAGCACAGATGTTTTGTATCCATTGCTTCACATCATTTACTACATAGGCTGAACATGCCCAAAATTGCTTCATCTTCTGTCAACAAAGATATTTCAATCCAGAACTGCTTAAGGTCTGATACTTGCAGATCACCTTAAAATCTTCATTAAAAATTGGCTCAATTTTGTTCCAGCACTTACTCTTCAAGAATGCCAGTGAGGCATTAGGGTCATGTATATTTTTTAGGACTTGGTAGTGATTCTTATGCACAATTCTGAATTAGATTTCTCTCCTGTTTTATTAAGCTTTGAAGCAATTTTAGCAATGTTTCCTGAATGAAATATATACAAACCTTGTGCGGAGCTTTTCTTCTTGTGAAGAGAACAACACTCTTCACTCCTTCCAGTTCCATCAAAAGACTTTTCCATTTCTTAAAATTCAGCCTAAGATTAGCCATGCTGGCTGGATCTTGTGCTTACAGAGGTAAAGACATTACTTTCAGGATTAAAATTCAGAGTATATTTCAAAACTTTCCTGTGTATACACTGACCAATATTTCACACTTCATATATTTCATAAATTCTTGCTTGTTATTACTATAAGGACTTAGCTGAACTTGCTGCCAAGGAACCAGTCTGAATCCACCTAAGGCCTTCTAACACATAGAACAGCTCTCACGATCTGAAGTGAGGAATGGTTGTACACATTCACCTTTCACTGAGGTCAGTGCAAAGGACTTCCAAATTCCAGCACTGAGGGAATCAGGTTATTGAGCCAAACCAGTGGTATGTTCAGTCACCGAGAATTTCACAGTCCTCCTGAAAACAAAATGTTACGATGTCCTGTAGGACAGACTATAAGCTAAAGAAACTTGCCTTCAAAATGATAAGATACTACTCATATTACATGCACATCAGAAGTTTGTTTTTAGAAGACTCAGTTTCCTTGTATTGCATTAATGTTCAAGGTAAGCTTATCTTGCTGCATACTAGAATGCTGGTGAGTTTAGGTGATTCACAGTATATTGAAAGCTAGCTGGATCAGAATACAGCTTTTGAAACCACAGGCAGAGCAGAAGTAATTCTATAATTTTTCCATGGGGTTTTGAGTCCTATAAATTTAACTAATTACTCTTATAGCCTTTTGTGTTTCTATTCCAGCCTGTAATAAGTCCCACTATCTTTTGCTAAATATTTATAATTTATCTCTCATTTCCTTACTGCAGTAACTTTTTTGTCTGCAAATTTAGTCTCAGTTACTTGATTAACTACTTTGCTTGATCAGGGTCTTATTCATGTCACAAGCAGAAGTCTTTCCAGTTTAACTTTTTTCTTTTTTTTCTGGTAGCAGGTGTGATTTGCAGCACTGACCTGAAAATCCAAGCTGATTTGCTTTCATTTGATACTAAAGCATACCTATGCATTTATGTCATTAAACCAACCTTGTACATATGAATATATATAGCAATCAGAAATTTGTCTTAGCTGATAGAAAGTAGTAAAATCAAATTATACATGTTTGAAGCAGACATCTTAAAATTATGACAATCATCAAAATTTTGGTTTTGCTATTAGAGCAAATTTGATACTTTAAAACCTACTTATATTATCAAATATTGAGAGCAGTTGTTGCTCTGAAGAGGTCATTTTTAATACCTCTCATACACAATATTTTCAACCCCCCAAATTTATTAGCTTAGTAAGTTGAAAGTTTATATAGCCTCATAGCTTATTTACTGAATTTCAGCAAATTTCTCTCAGAAAATTGACTGCTTAGTAATTTTTCCCCGCACTTATGTGTCATAACATCAAATTGTCCAGCTACAGTTAAAATTCAACAGATCTTTACAGAATTGGGGGAAAATTCAATATTATTCAAGAAATTATATGAGAGAGCTTTCTAAAATTTCTCAGCAAACTGCTTCTAAAATCCATTATTACCAGCTGAATTCAGTGCATAAGGCTGATGTAATCAAACACCTTTTTAAAAAAATCTGTTTATCTCAGTGTAACACTATGTAAAGCTCTGGTTCAAGTTAAAAATACTTGAGACATATTGAAGGCCAAGGTTGTGCTGCATTTAAATACACTCAAAAATTTGATGAATCTGGGTTTTGGTCACCAGGATTGGTCATTTTCTCTAAATATGACTTCTCTTTTCTTCAGAGGGTAAGAAGAGATATATTCCTAAAGCAACATAATGGGACCATTTGTTAGGAAACCTTTTTAGAAACAAAGACTATCCACTATTCTAATACATTTAAAAAACTATAGTTCTAGGTTCATTACCCTTAAAAAGGGGGCAATTTGTCACACTTCCATAATGTTAGGTAATGTACTCTACTGTGCTCTTAAATGCAAGATGGACATAGAAACTTTACTGTCTTTTGAACTGTTACACACATTTCTGTCTGGAACCACAAATTATGTTCTTAAAATTTTCTCTGACATTTAAAAATTGTTTCCTCATTTTCAAAATAGGTTAAACAACAAAGATAATGTTAAAAATAAAAAAAAAGTTAAAAATTACTGCTTCAAGTGAAAGACTGGGACTTGTTTCACAGAAAATGTTGAAAATCTTGTTTTAAATTTATAATAAGCAATCAAATACTCTTCAGTGCACATAATTAGTATATCTATTATAATTTGAAACTGAGTACTGATGACTGCTTCTGCTGATCTTTTAAAATTTCTTACAAAATATAAATAGGATAGCCAAAAGAGAATAACTGATAAACCATGATGTGAGATTCTCTTTTCCTTCCTTTTTTTCTCTTTTCTTTTCCTCTCCACTTGGACTGAAGTCCTTTCTGGCTTCTTCAAAAAAATGCACACACACAACCACACACACCCACACACACCCCCCACAAATTAATTCCAAAACCATTTTTCTAAATTTCCAATGGACTTGTATTCCTGGTGTCTTTTCACGTGATCACAAGCAAGACATGCATGTGATTCCCAGAACCTAGGAAGATGCACTGAAAAATCCTTCTTCCAGTTGAAATAACTAAGATACATCTTATTATTTTTGTCAAGCATCAGAAGATATTCTGCTAGCTCTCTGGGGGAGAGAAAATCTTCCACATGTATGAAAGAGTCTGCTGGAATGTAATTCTCGTAATTTTCTCTGGAAGGGCCCAGTACAACTGGTACTGATCCAGCCAGAAGAGCATTGTAGAGTTTCTCAGTAATGTAATCTTTGTGGATTGAATTTTCAAAGGAAAGGTAGAATTTGCACGTGGAGATAGTTGGAATCAAGTTTTTGTCATTGACGTAGTCTCCGAAGGCTTGTCCGTAGGTGTGGATTTCAATGTATTTGCTGAGCTCGTTGTAATACTTCACTCGAGCGTGCTCAGGGTTCCAGTTACTCACAACCCAACAGACCAAGTTTTCCTTACTTGGTACTTCAAATGTGAAGGAACTGGTGCCAACCATCATGAAGCCATAAGGCACCTGGATATCTGAGTCACGTCGGTAAGTCAGGGTCAGGTTAAAAAGGTGTTCGATGCCACTCTTTTGTGGAGTATGAGTTGGAGACTCCAAGTTCATCCAAATCCACTTCTGGAACGGTGGCCTGGCTTGCTGAGGTAAATTGGCCAGATCCCAGCTAATGTCTCTGTGATGAATGAGGACAGCGTGGGATCTGTTGTAGAGCGAGCGGTCAATAGTCAGATGGCACCCGGGGATGTTGAACATCGTTTGGCAGGACGTTAGATCGAACGTCTGACCAAATGGCCAAACCCAGATCAAGACAGTAGTTTCATTGAGATTATCAGTTTTGGAAGAAAAGAAGTTCTTCATTTTCAACACTGAACTGGCTGATTCTATAGGACCAGAAATCCAGCTATTTGTTGGTTTGATATAAATTAATATAAATGCCATGAAACAACCAAGGATAATGAAGATAATAAAAAATGGCCGGAAAATTCCTTTAGATGTCGATGTCATAATTTGCTCTGAGAAGAAAAAGAGGAAGAGAGAGAAAATAATATCAGGTATTAAATTACATATATATGTCTTGTTAAAATAATCAGACATCACAATAGGTAGAACTTCAATAACACTGAACTGCAACCTCAGAAATTTCCTTTGAATGGAGAGGGCATGGTTTCTTGCACTCTGTGATAAAGTGACAATATTTCTCTTCTTCACATTAAAAGCTCACTGACAAAAGCAAGATTTTAATATGTCTCATACTTGGTGAATCAGTACATATTGAGAAGTTTTTTTGCTCAGAACCTAGGCCAAGCATTTGGAACACAGAAGACAGAAAAAATTACCCTTTAATTCTATCCCTGCGTCTATGTAAAGGACAACATGCTGCAGATTTGTTGTATTTGTATTTTTGTGAATGTGGAGGACGTAGGATTAGAGGATTGAAAAAGGAAGGGACTAGAACTTTAATTGTTTAATCAATAAGACTTTTATTAGAAAACTAGTTCATGTCTGATGGCTACATAGGGATGAACATTCATGCCTTCTCCAGGGAACTCCTAAAATACCTAGGGGAGGAAGCACCAATAGAGAGTTTCCTTATGCAGCCACATATCTCACATATTTCCCACATAAAAAATAAAGAGAAATTAATATAAAATATGTTCTTATGTATTTAATTATGTTTTTATGTGTTAAAAATGAGGAAAAGTAGAGATATGCTGCATCATTATGAGGTATCCTTTTTTTCCCATGGGGAGATAGGGCTGAGAAGTTCATATAGCCTCCTGTAGCCTCCTATGTCCTTGCTCTACTTGTTTCCTCCTGAGAGAAGTGATCAATCTCTTTCCAGAACTACTCTACCATATGGTTCTTGCAAAACCTAACAACCCTAGTTAGGGGTTGTTAATTGCTAACCTTTGATCCTGAATGTAGCCCTAGAACTCACAGATGTTCTAAAACTAAGAAAAGTCAACCATGCAGCACCATGGCACACAAGGGAAAAGGAATGGAAGTCTGTTACCAGGAAAAGGTACTCTGAACATACTGGCACACTGTAAATGTGCTACAATTACTGTAAATGTTGTCTGACTTTCCTTTTTTTGCACATCTTTCAATTTGTTGTGTTTTGTTTCCTTGGCTAGATAGTGCCACAAAAAAAATTTATAAAAAGCCCACCCCTATAAATAGGAAAATATATAATATTATATAGATGTGTATATATATATATATATATATATATAAATCAAAATCAAAGAAAGCAGAAAGTGAACTTCAGGCCTTTAAAACCACTTCCATAGCTCATCTCTTCCTACTATGAAATAAATCAATAAATTCAGAATGAAGACATGATAGAACGTGATTCAGATGTCCACAAATAGCACATAACTTTGCAGCCTTTGTGAGTGTAAAAACTGATGTGTAGTGAGTGTAGCACTACAGTTACAACATAAATGTTTTCACATTCATTGTTGAGGAAAGGAAGAAGGAGGGAACATCCCTTAACTTAGCTTTACTCTAACACTGTATCTTGAAGAAAAGGGAATTTGTCACAATATCTCCTGGTTTTGGGTATATGGATGTTTTTAATTCTGGTTTTAGTTATAGTGGTGGATTAACCTTGTCTGGCTGTCAGACCCACCCAGACACTCTCTCACTATCTCTCCTCAACAAAATATGGGAAGAAAAAAAGATGAAAGTCTCATGGGTTGAAGTAAGGACAGGAAGGTCACTTATAAGTTACTTTCATAAGCTAAACAGGCTCATCTTGGGGCGAAATAATGTAATTGTCATTTAAAATAGATTTATATAGTGAGAAACAAAGACAAATATTAAAATAAATTTCCCCCCTCTTATTCCCAGACTCAGCTTCCTCCTTCATTCTCAACTCCTATACCTCCTACCCACTCCTGAGCAGTGCAGAGGGATAGGAATACAGGTTTGTGATCAGTCCACAACTATTCCTCTTAGCTGCTCCTTCCTCCTTATACATTTCTCTTCCTCCAAAATGAGTCCTTCCTATGGGATGCAATTCCTTCAGGGAAAAAAACTTAGCTACTGAGTGGGCTGTCCATGGGATGCTTCAGGACACATCCTCCTGTGAGGTCCTCACCAGGCCACCATGGGCTGCAGGGGAGTCTTTGCTGTAGTGCTCAGAGTTTGTCCCCCTGTCCTTCTTCTCTGACCTTGGTGCTCACAAGGCAGTTTCTCACGTTTTCCCCCTAATTTTCCATTACTTGTGCCTTTTGAATACACTTTCCCAGAGGTGCCAGCACCTTGGCTGCAGGGTTTAGCCATGCCCTGCAGTGGGTGTGTTGGGATATGCTGGAATTGGCATGGGGTGGCCCTGGCTGCTCTTTGGAGAGGCTGTCCAGAGTCCCTGCTGCCAGTGCCTGGGCACAAACACCTCCTACAATTATATAAAATATATGGAATGCTGAGTCTGGTGCTTTTGTCTAGGCCCTTTTACTGAAGGACATAGTTTAGCAGGCCCCCTCTGATTTCAGCAAAATGATCCTGAGGGGAGTAAGGAGGAGAACGGTGTGTCCATGGCTTTTCCACTTATCCACATCAGTTTAAATCCCTCTGAAAGAAAAACGAGGCTTTACAGCAACATTACATTGGCTTTTTTTAGCCTGTGTTGATTATTTCTTGAAATTATGTCTAGAAGGAAGGATATGTCCTATGAGAGCCTAAGACTGCTTCCCTGCCTTACTACAGAGAAAGTAAGAATAGGACCTCTAAGGAAGAAGGGATTTAGGTTGAACAGCTCTAGGAGATGCAGCTGAAAAAAAAAAATCAAGAGGCTGAACTGATATTCATGTAAAGCTGTTCTTTGTTTCTGTGCTTTTGAAAGTGATACACAGCACAGGTATAACTTATCACTGAACAGAGAGTGTCAGCTGAGTTTGAACAATAGATTGGGACACGTTTATTCACAGGAGCTGATAATTTTCTAGGGATTAAAAAGGATGATGAAAAATCAGAAAAGGATTTTAACATTGTGCCTTGTAACATAGTCACCCTCCAGTTATAAGCCTTTTGACTCAAGTCTCTGACAGGGATTATTTTACACTAAGCTCTTCTGCTAACTACTAACAAACCCCTGCATCATCACATGACAATTCTTACTGCATAGGAAATGACCAGATATTATATCTTCTGTCCTCTGCCTGAAATTCTAGTTTGTCCAGACTCTTGCATTTGTATAGAAGCTTTTGAAGTGTAGAGCCAATGTGGTTTGTGCTACCCCAAGTACCAATATTAACATCTGACCATGTTAAACAGATGAGTTTGCCAATTTTTGTCTCTTCTGGGTTTATTTCCTCTCCTGGTTTTGCTGGCCTGTGAAGGCATGTCCCCTTTCTGATATGGGATCATGGTTTCTAGTTTTTGCCTTTTACCAAAACACAAACCTACATCCAGGCTCTATAGCCCTTTATAGTCCTGCATCCTTCGGATTCAGAGAACCAGCCGTTCATTATGCAGTCTCACAGATCCATTAGGTGTATTGGCATCACTGTCATGCTTTGCTCTGAAACTACTGCTAATGGGATGGTGGAAAAAGGGTCTAATAGCAGGACCCTTTAAAAAATTGAATGAGAGTCTTGCAAGGAAGCAGAGGAACTGAGCAGACTCCTAAAAATACCACTTAACCATACCCAGAGGAGCTGGACAGGGTTTTTTCATGGAATTCTATTTTTGTATTCCATTTTGTGGAATACAGTAATAACTATTAAGATGTATACAGGGAATAGTGGCGATTTTTCGTCATGAAGTACTAACAGAATCAATAATTTCTGTGCTTCCCAAGGCAGATTGAGGGACCCATGGAATGGACCAGCAAACTCTGCTTTCATGGCTTTTGGGATTTAGTCCTGGGCACAGTCAGGCAGCAGTAAGTGCAGCGAAGGCATGTGTTAGGCACTTGTTGACACATATTATTTGCATAGCATCATAAAATGGTTTGGGTTGGAAGAGATATTTTGAGAATTAGCTTGTATGTACTACTAGGACATAAAGGTTGCATCTATGGTGCACTAGAATTCATAGACCATTTTTTCCATAATAATCTCCAAAATGAGGATTCTTTTCCATATTTATTTATGTCCTTCTTTTTTGTGCCCAAGATAACCATTAACATCTGACTGTAATTCTCACTATAAAGGTGACACTAAGGAGACATTTATTGCAAGCCATCCATGCAAGTCACCTTAGTTCACCCTTCCCCTTTCATGGCTTTTCTTCCACCCCAGAATGACAAATTTCCTTTCTGTGGATTCCCTCCCCCATGCATGTTGAGTCTGAAAGGAGAACTTTGTCAAAGAGATGTGTTTACTGAGATTTTTGCCAGCTGGAAGAATTCTGTACTTTTGATAGTTTTGTTATAAAGTACATTTCAGAGTGTTGTGGAGTAGCAAGTATTTTCTAGGTGCTTTTTTTCCCAAGTTGAAAGTATAGTATTTTATCAGTACAAGACTGTTTTTCTCAGTACAAAACTTAGCAAGGCTTCTTTTTAAGTGCAAATCTTGGCATTCCATCAGGGAGCAACTGCATTTAGCAGCAACAGAAACAGGGAGATAGTAATGGGGTATCAGCCCTGTTAACCCCAAGTTTACCAGGCAAGGCTTGCAAAAAAATGTCTGGTTTTGAATGCATTATGTTTATTAAGAAATAAAATTGAATTTTATGGAAACTGTTTTATCATATTTTCCTTGCAACTGGGACTTCTCAGTCATTCCAGAAGGGACAGATATGTTTTGGGTTTTTTTCTGATTATGCAATACTGCAGTGGGGAGAAAATATGAACTTTCTTGTCAATAATATTGATGCCTATTTCTCTGGCATTTTTTGCACCAATTTCTTCAGTTTCTCAAGGTTTTGGCAGTAGCCCAAAATATATCATTACTTGCAGAGGTATAACTTTCATTACGAGTCTAGTACTGAGCTTTTCCAAAGGGAAAGGACAGTATTTTAAAATGAAAATGAAGCCAAGATTCTTAAAAGCATGGACACTGAATCATCAA